TTTTTGATATGGAAATGTACTAAATAAACATGTGAATTTAGTTTTCTCTTAATTTTCTAATGCAATTTCAATTTGATTGTAACCTGAATAGTCATTTAGGAAACAATAAAATTCATGACCTGCAACACTTTCTAGGATTTAATCCATGAAAGGTAAAGGACAATGATCATTTTTAGTCATTGAATTAAGTTTTCTATTGTCAATGCACATGCGTCAACTAGTAATACTCTTAGTTGGAATTAACTTATTTTTCTTATTTGTTATTACAATGATTTTAGACTTCTTGGGTACAACTTGAGTAGGACTTACTCATTTGCTGTTAGGAATAAAATAAATGATTCCATTATATATAAGTTTAATGACTTTATTTTTCACTACTTCTTTCATAGTAGGATCAAGCCTTTGTTGTGTTTCTCTAGAGGTTTAATATTTTTTCTAAATAAATTTTGGGTGTGTAAATTAAAGAACTAATTCCTTTTACATCAGCTATGGTCCATTTTTATGCATTTTAAAAGTCTGTAATGTCTTACCTTCTTGATATACAATAAGTTTGGAAGAGATTATTACCAGAAAATTTTTTATTTTCTTCTAAAAATAAGTATTTGAGATTGAATGGTAATAATTTTAAATAAGATTTTGGTGGTTAAACATTTAAAGGTATGGACTCAATTGATCATGGTGAAAATTCTTCAATTTATGATCTCCAATTACTTGCCTTTAATTTTTCTTAAAAATAAACCATTCATAAATTTTCATATGCATTAAACTCAATTTCATTGGAAGTAGTTTTAAATTGATCGTGAACTAAATTTTCAATAAAGTCCAATTCCTGTAAATCATTATCATCTTTAAGTTGCATGTAAATGTTGAAAATATTCATCTCTAATTTCATGTTTTTAAATCATAACTTCATCAGTCAATTTCTATAATTAATTAATATGTTAGAAGTTGCGAGAAATTGACATTCTAAAATAATAGTAATTAAATTACATGTTTTGGTAAGTTATGTATCCAAGATAATAAAATCCACAGGATAAATAAATTTATCAACTTGTATAAACACATTTTCAACTATTTCTCTAGACATTTTTATAGATTTATCAGCAAGTAAAAAAGTTACAAAAATTGGTTTTAACTTACCTAGATTGAGACTTTGAAAAATCAAATATTGACGTAAATTCACACTAGCTCCAATATCAAGTAAAGCTCTTTTAATTTTATGTTCTTTAATAAAAAATATAAGACAACCAAGGTCTTTATATTTTAAAGCATATTATTCTGAGGAATAATGCTTACTTGTTCGGTTAAAAAGACTTTTTTTTTCACATTTAGTTTTCTCTTCACAGTACACAGATCTTTAAAAAATTTAGCATGAGAAGGTACCATTTAATAGCATCTAACAAAGGTATATTGATCCTTGCTTGTTTGAAAGTTTCAAAGATTTTAGAGTTGTGATTGACTTTTCTTTATTTGGTTATGACATAAGAAAATTGAAGTGCTTACAGAGAATCAGTCTTGTCTTCGTAATATTCTGATTTAACCCCTTACTTACTCTTAGAAATTAACCCATTATCTTTCTCATAAGGTTCAAGAGTGAGTTTTTAATAACCTGACCACTGCGAAAGTGATGATTGGTTTAATTTGATTTATGTGTTGGCTTCCGGAACTACTTGCATTTGCATTATATTACCTTTTGGGATTTTACTGTAATTGACAGAGAAACTTACCTTTCTCTTGAAAACTAAGAGTAGATATAAATTTTGCAAAAGTATCTTTAAAATCTATCATGATTTGAGCATTTTGAGTGTTGATTACTTGTTGTTTTTTTAATAAATGTATGCAATGTTTCCTCAATATTTCTTCTAGGAGGTGGAGCATAAAGAAGTGCATGTTCATAAAATTTTTAAAAATTATGGTGTGCTAAAAATGGTGGTTGTGAAGCTTGTGTATTATTGTTACCATCCTTTCAATTGAAATTTGGATGATTTCTCCAATTAGGATTGTATATTTACGAGTATGGGTTATGATTAGGCCTTTGAAAACTATTTAAAACATGAGCTTATTTATGAAGACATTCCTTAAAATAAGACAAAGTTGGACAGTCATTGATTGAGTGTTCATTGGTTTCATATATTTGACATACAATGTCTTAAATAGATTTTAATTGACCACTCTTTTTCAATTCTAGTGCCTTGATTTTTCTATTTAAATATGTAAATTTGGCTTGAAGGTCAAAATCTTCCTAAAAGATGTACATTCCTCCACTAGATGTATGAGGTTGAGTTTTACTTTATGCCTAATAAGTGCCTGTAGTGTTCTAATTTTGAGCATTTTCAGCTAGCAATCTTAGGTACTCCATTGCTTCATCTGGGTTTTTATATTCAAAAGTTCCATTTCACATCAATTCCACCATTTGTCTATCTTTAGGTGTTAACCTTTCATAAAAATATGAAATCAATCTTCATATTTCAAAACTATAATGAGAACATGTATTAAGCAAGTACTTATGCCTGTCCTAACATTGGTAAAATGATTATCCTGGTTTTTGAGTAAAAGTGATGATTTGTCTTTTGAAAGAATTTGTTCTGTGAGATGCAATTTTTTTTTTTTAAATTATTATTGCATTTTATCTCAAGCATGAATGGACCATGACCTAATATTTTATAGCTATATTTTAGCTTTATCTTTTAATAAAAAAATAAAAAACTTTAATTTAATGTTGTTCATGTATAATTTAAGTCATTATAAGTGTTACAAATCTGTTAAAATTCTCTCAAATGTAAATATAGATTTTCTAGATCTAAGCTATAAAAAGAAAGTAAAATTTGAATAATGCTTAGCTTAAAATTAAAATGAGATGCATCAGGAGGAAAAAATATGCATAATAGTGCACTTGTTCTTGTTGGATTCATGTCGTCTCTAAGTGTTTTAACACAATTATTCTTATTATTCTCATTTTGAAGTGAATGCTTATCTTTTTTCGACAATATTTTCTAAAAATGATGATGATACTCTATAAAGTTTACCATGTGATGTATGTGATTAAACTCTCATGCACGTGTAGGAAGAGAATAAAAGAAAAAAAAACCAAAACAAAACAAAAGAAGCAAAAGTTAGATATAATAAAAGTAAAAAAATAAAATACAAGAAATATTATAATTTATATGGGAATTTACATCTACAACAATGACGCCAAAAACTTGACACGACCAAAAAATTAATGTGTTCTTCCAAGTGTAGGAGTGTCAAAGTAATAAATAACTCGGCAAGACTGGTGTTAAACCACAAAAAGCTTAACTATATAAATTATAAATAATGATGATGATGATAATGATGTGTTAAAGAAGACTTTGAGATGTAAGATTAATGTAAAAATTAAACAATGATTAAAACAGTTGTCAAGGTTAGAGGATCCACTACTAATATTTCAAATAAGTATAATATAAAATATTTTTATTACTCAACTAGAAATCACACACAAAGGAGGTTCCAATTTGATAATTTGTTACTAATAGCTCATTATAAATTATTAACCTGATCATATTAATTATCTTATTTGAGGAACATCAAACTTTTAAATATTATTAGGAATTCATGATGCTAACTTATGTTAATAACAAATCAAGTTTCTTTCATAGCATATGTGTAGGTTATACCATATGGTTGGGTATGAAATTGCCAAACATTTGTTGTACCAAGTGTGATACAACACAAATTTATAATAACCATTTAACAAGCAATGTATTAATAATTAATAAGATAAAAATGATAACATATGTTAATATCAAGTTGTTTAGGATATAATCATTGAAGTTGATATTGAGTTTATATTATATTTATCCTAACATTATTAGTGAAATATTTTCACGTTAACATAATAAACTTAACTAAACATAATGAAAAAAAGAAACATAAATAAACAAGAGGAGAACATGATTATATAAGTATAGTAAAGAAAATAAAAGGCATAAACAAGATATCAATGAAAGCAAAACTTAAGCATTACAAAAATATAAAGGAAGAGAGCAAGAACATAATCTTAATATGAAAACCAAGATACTTAAATACATGACAAATGCCTCCTTTTATAGGCCAAAATTTGAAACTATTGATTTGATGACTAATTATTGAGTGGGTGACCACCTCTTTACTTAGTAACAATCCTTATCTTCTTATCTGCAAAAAACATCATTGGTAACATCAGAATTTGAATAGATAGTCTGTATGAAAGTTCTAAAAAATCATCTCATCTTTCCAACAAAAAAATGAGGTTATTTGGACTTATAGAACTCGAGATATGGGTTGAACACTGAATAGTGTCTGGGCTGAAGTATAGATTTGAACTTTTCTTTTGATGCTAAGATTTAGACTTCTAAACGGTAGAATTTAGTCTTGGACTCTTATGAATGTTTTAGGTCTATTTCTCACCTTTCTAGTCATATAAACCAAACTGAAGTCCAAGATCTACAGCTCCAGATATGACCTAATAATTGAACAGTGTTCCAGTTTGAATTAAATCAGCATCTCTTTTCTAATCTTAGCCTTTTCTTTGTCTTTTCACTTTTAATAGTTAATCATATCAATCAATCCTTTGAATTGTAAGATATGCCTGTATTTAAAATGAACATTTACCATAAATTAAAGCTATTTTATATTATTAGATTTATTAATATATAACATGTTCTAGTTAAAGAGTTATTGATACTTCAAGTGTAAAATAATGATGTAAAACCTTGATAAAAATGCACTTTTAAGTACTAATCACATGAAAAATATAATTATTATATAAATTTTGCCTATGAGTAAAAAAACATCCTTATATGAATATGCCTATGAGGCTAGAAATTAGAATGTGTGTGTTTGTATATATATGATTTGTGATTAATCACAACAAAGGACATTCTTATGTAAATAAAAAATTGACTAGCCATTATTGGTAGAGTTAATGGCGTCAATATAATTGAGTGCTAGGATATTTAAGCAATTAGTTGTCCTAGGTGGAGCTAGTGGCGTCAATGTAATTGAGTGTTAGGATATTTAACTAACTAGCCGTCCTAGATCGGGCTAGTGGCGTCAATGTAATTGACTTTCAAGATATTTAATTGATTAGTTATCTTGGGTAGAGCTAGTAACGTCAACGTAATTGAGTGCTAAGATATTTAATTGACTAGCTATCCTGGGTGAAGCTAATGACATTAATGTAATTGATTGCAAATATATTTAACTAACTAACCATCTTGAATGGAGTTAATAACGTCAATTTAATTGGTTGATAGTATATTTAATTGACTAGTTATTTTAATAGGAGATAATGACATCAATGTAATCGACTGTCAGGATCTTCATTGTCTAGTTATCTCGAGTGGAGCTTATGATGTCAATATAATCAATAGCAAAGATATTTAATTGACTAGTTTTCTTGAGAGAAGCTAGTGATATCAATATAATTTACTGTTGGGATACTTGATTGACTAAGCTACTTGGAGTGGAGTTGGTGGCATCAATACAACTAACTTGTTAGATTATTAATGAAATCTAATAATTTATAAAATTTTGTATCATTTTAAAGTTTTAATTTCGAATTAATACAATAAAAATAGAGGAATATATGTTATGTTATACTATTGTTAAATTCTATTATTGATTAGTGATATAATGGTAAAGGTTCATGGTGGTTTGACCATGAATTTGTTTGGAATATTTTTAAATTGTTGATGTTAATATTTGAGATTTTTTTAATTTTTAGGAGAAAATCAGCTAAAATTTTAGTAAAATATTAAATAATTAAAATAAGTCCCGAATGATAGATTATGAAAGGAAAAAAAAAGTGATGTATTTAAAATATGTTTTAGAAGTTCTGAATGATAGATTATGAAAAGAAAAAAAAAGTGTATGAGTTTCAATGATTTATATCTAATGATGTATTTAAAATATGTTTTAGAAGTTAGGATTGTTACATAAAATCACTCATTACTTGTGTGATAATCATATTGATATTTTATGATGTATTTTATATAGGAAATAACAGCAAAAAATTTTGATATAATTTTTGTATAAAGAAAATCCTTTGAAATTTCATTCAATTGTATATTTTTATTTGAAAATAATAAGTGAGGTAAAGTATATAACTTAAATCTTAAAAAAATGAGTAAAAATAGTATAAAGAATAATAATATGATTTATATAAAAATAAAATATAAGTGTTCATGTGAAAAGTTTAATTGCACGTATTAATATTCTTTTGTCTCATTTAAATTAGACTATTTAATTCAAACTCAATATTGAAAGTAAAAACATAATTGGTCATATAGACATTAGAATATGCGTTCTAAGAGATAGTTGTTTTAAAGCTTTTTTATATTAATTCTATGATAATTTCAACATTTTAATCTTACATTTTGATTTATAAAAGTACTTAAACTTGAACTTAATAGGATTTAGTAGGATTTGGATGATAAGTAAATCATTTAAGACTAATAAAACCTTGAGATTATTATTTGATTATTTATTTTAAATTAATTATTTTTGAATCTTTTTAAAATTTTTAATATATTAATAAAAAAATTATTTTAATAATTTTTAAATAAAAAATCATAAATCAAGTTTATAATGACTCTTATGCGAGCTCGAGTCACAGCGCCACATGTAATACCAGACTCTACCTGGTGTTGAAGTAATACTAGCAGTACCGGCACAATATAAAAATATCTAATACCACTAACCTACCTTCTTCTAATCCATAACTCACTTTCGGACTTATGATTATTTGGTCTGCAACTGCAATTTCACCAGTGGGCTGAAATCAACAAAAGTAAACAGGAAGATATGGGAAGGATATTTGTGGTGGAGTTAGAGGGTCGTTCTTACAGATGCAAGTTCTGTGGGACCCATTTAGCTCTCCCTGATCAACTTGTCTCGAAGGTAAAACCAAAACCCTCCATTCTTTTTTTTTTTTTTTAAGGGGTTCATGGAATTGTTGATTCTGTTTGTTTTAGTTCACTGTCATGTATTATGCTTGCATTTGAGTTGTTCAACTCTTTTGGGGTCTCATATTTTTTTTTTGTGGCCAGTCTTTTCGTTGCCGCAGAGGAAAAGCTTATCTCTTCAATAATGTGTGAGTGCTTCAATTTTGACAGAAGTTCTTTCTTGCCTTGTTTTGAAAATCTTGATGAATTATTGATCTCTTTAGTGTCCCATTTATAAAGCTTTAACCTCTATTTTGACAGCGATTTGCTAGTGAACATGCCTAGGTAGATCGCTTTCAAATCTTTTTAGACAATATCTTGTGATTTGTGGCTGAAGTGCGATGCAACAAGAAGATTTTTAATTCTAAACGAGGATTCAAGTATTGGCACTTTACATAGTTAGCATTGATGGTCCTATCTTGTTTTCAATTTGTGTGCATTGTTGGCTGGATGCCTAAACTTTGAAAGGCATTAACGGCTCTCTCCAAGCTTGAGCTTTATGTATCTCTTTCACTGTTTTGGCTCAAATTTCCGAAATTGAGTTTCCTACCTCTAAACCCAGTATCCGTTATCCTTTTCCCTCCTTTTGTGCTGCTAGAATTGGAGAATTTACATGTTCTTGCAGTGAAAATTCTGAAGTTCAAACATTTTTCCTTATGCTGTTTATCTGCATTAAGTAATAATTTTATTTGTCTTGTCTTTTTTTGATTGGTGATAATGCACTACAGCAGCAAAATTTGTTCAAAATATAATTCAAATACATAAGAAGGTACTAAAAAAATCCAGAAATTAATTAGCTGCAGTGATGAGCTGGTCAATTCTCAACCATAGTTGTTGATTGCATGCTCAAAACATTGAAATTTGGATGTTTTATTCTTGGTTTCTCACCAAAGTTTTCAGAGTGTTCACATTGGAATGGAACGATAATTAGTACAACTCTTGTGAGCAAAAAACCTCAGATGACAGCATCAGGAATTTTCTCTTCTGATGTTGTTTCAAAGTTATGAGGTGGTGTTGTGTTGCTTGATAAATAGCTTCTCCTGTTGGTGCAGAAGAAATAAAAAACTTCATCTGCAAAAGTTTATTTTAAACACCTGTTCCACAAAGCACTAGTGTTGAAGATGGTGGGAATCTAATGAATAGTGAGAGAATGTAGAGCTATTGATAACAATAGAAGAAGATAAAAGATCCCTTGAACAACTTAAGAATGAATGACAGTTGGAAAATGTGCCTTTTCCGTCCATTTAGTTGCATTATCTTCTTCTTTAATGGTTTACTATCAGGCTGTCCTGATTTATATTTAATGTTATTCTGTCCTAAATATCGGGGTAGGCTTGGATGGTTCTACCCATATGGATCTGGATGGTATTGTCTGGACATAGATTGATTCATTTAATGGTTTATTTTTCTTCCCAACTTGCTTCCAAATCCTCAAGGTCGGACCTATGAGAAAACTAGGCAATTGACTCGTTGGGATTTTAAGATTTTTTCAGATGTTTTGGATTGCATGCCAAATTTGGATTTATTTTTTATGTCCAAGGACCAAGTTTGACAGCAAAGTGCTAGTAATTTTTATCGTTGAGCAGTTGTAACTAATTTTACATTGAAAATACTTTCCTCCAAATTTGTGTTCTCATTGTAGCTTCTCTCTTTCATATCTTCTTTTCTAAATTTCATGTTTTTCTCTCTTCTTCAGTCCATGAAATTTGAATGTGTCATTTATCAGGCACTAAGAGAACCATTTAGAGCACTGCTACCATCAAAATGCCAATAACTCTATAAACTCTATAAATAAAGTTTAACCATCAGTAAAATGTCCTGATATCAAGTTTTTGTGCTGAGGCATTGCTACCATCTTCCCCTGCATGATTTATTTTTTCTGAGCATATTTAATTTAAGCACTGCTACCATTTTTTCTCGTGGAAACTGATCACTGCTCAGAACTCAAGGTCTTGATCATGTATTTATATGAGAGTTGACAAGAACATGAATGGCATATTAGTGGTGAAGAGTTTGGTCATGTAATCAGGGGTCATCCTCTTGGATGCTATTGATCATATCAGCATTAAATAATCCTTCAATGAAGGCGCCGTGTCCTAAAGTGCTCATGTAAATAAATATACAACCAAAACTGTAATAGCCTGAAAATATACATACCTAGTCAAGATGTGATATGATTCCATTGTGATGCCTATGGACACCATCTAACAAATTGTTGTATTGAGTAGTCATATCATAGTCTCTTACCATAAAAATGGCTGCATGTGTAGAAGCACCAACTATGAGAAATATTGTGCAACATGGTCCTTTCAAAAGACTAGTGTTAAGATTATTCCTGGCAGTGATCCCCTTATCTGTGTGTGCGTGCATACTCACACACTCAAATCCCATTACCATAAAAATGGCTGCATGGGCAGCAGCACCAACCATGAGAAATATCATGCAATATGGTCCTTTCAAAACACCTGTGATAAGATTATGCCTAACAGTGATCCCCTTATCTACACACATGCGCCCACACACAAATTTGATCATCAAGTTCTTCAAGTGAGTTGATTAGATAGGGGGGAAATGATTTTTTTCTCATCTTGAGTATTTCCTATCTTATCTCATCTATTGATGCACATTATGGAGCTTGTGATTTCAGGGTGAACATCACTGTGGGAGTGTTAGAGGAGAGAATGATGCTTTCAGGAATGCATACTGTAGCTGACATATTTTGTTGCTGTTGTGGGGGAATTATTGGCTGGAAATATGTAATGTCTCTCTTTGACACCCACAATGCTTAACCCCTAAAAATAACCCTTTGAAATATCGGTTTGGCTGTAAATGCTTCTGTTTTCATTGTTTCTTATTGTAGGTGAAATCTACCTTCTGATTAGAATTCCCTAATTTGCCTTTTCCTTCCTGAACAGGAGGCAGCACATGAGATGAGTCAAAAGTACAAAGAAGGGAAGTTTGTCCTCGAAAGGTACAAGCTATGAACTTTGTTTCAAATATTCTAATTCTCATTGATTTCTTGTATGCATGTCTATCAAACAGGGGGAGGATCGTTGGTGAAATGGACTTCTCAACAGAACTCTTTATTGATACCCATCCTGAATGAGTGACGCTGGAGATGTTTAACATCTATTTTCAATTCTGTACGTAGTTGTGCTAAATAAAAAGCCGGAAAGGAGGCACTGCACTACTTCTGTAAATGAGTGTTTACAGTAATTATATATTGAGGGAATTCCAGTAATCTATTTTAATTTTGATGGACATTAAATTGTAATGAATGCAACTGTTTGCTTTAATTCAGATGGAATTTTCTTGTAATGGTCTCTATTGTTTCTGGTCTGCCTCTAAAGTTCGCAGTTTGAGTTGACTACCAATATTAGAAAGGGTATTTGAACTTTAGAAGTAGTAGATTTGCACTGAAAATTCTAAGGTGTTTTGAAGTGCTGTAGTTGTAATATATATATATATATATATATTATGTTTATAAAAATTATTTTTAATATT